AGTAAAATTTGACCTCGCATAAACTATCTAGTAGAGTTGTCATATACATAGATTTATTGACTAGTCAATAAATCTATGTATATGACAACTCTACTAGATAGTTTATGCGAGGTCAAATTTTACCTTGTTAAACATTTTTGTACCGAATAGACGTTGCATTTTGTTACCGTACAATCAATCGATTTTTATCTGCATTCTCGACCAAACTTCTTTTAATTTCATAAAAAATTAGTAACTCATAGTCATATGTAGGAAAATGTAAATTAAACCCAAAGAAATATTTTATTTGATAAAAAGCCCCAACAAAAAAAATAGTAATAATTAAACCCCAACCTTTTAATTTAACGCAAATTAAATCTCTAATATTTTAGTTTAAAGCCAATTTAACCCTAAAAACAAATGTTGTTAAACCACTAGCATATTTAGAGGTTTAATTGTCTACTTTAGAGGTTTACGTTCATTAAACAATCATTATCAACAAATTCAATCATATTCAAACTAAAAAAACTTTAAAATTCACACAAAATCAGAAGTTAAAAAACCACAAATCTAGATATTCTAAATAAAAAAATGAACACGAAATCATATCATCTACTCAAATCTATGATAAAATATTAAACATATCTTGTTGTTGAACTCAATTATAAGTTGTTAGTCCTTTTATTCTCCTAAATCGGTAGATAGCCTCTAAATTTATTCATGGTTAACAACATTTGCTTTTAGGGAGTATAATTTTCGTTCAATTAAAATGTTAGGATTTAATTTACCTTAAATTAAAATGTTATGGTTTAATTATCACCAGAATATTCCTTAGGGTTTTTTCGTGAAAAAAATATTTCTTGTTTTTTTTTTTGCATTTTTCCCTCATATGTAGGAGACTCAAATCTTTTATAACCAAACTCCCTTTAATGTTTTAGAAAATTAAGTAACTAATAGTCATATGTAGACTCAAATGTTTTATTTAAAAAATTTGTTCTCTAGTAAACAGAAAATTGGCATTAAGACAAAGAAAAGAGAGAGTAGAGTAGACCAGCATCCACCTTCCCGGGTCCGACAGTCCGTATCAGCTTCCCCTGAT